GCTATCAGATGCGCTCTCTTCTCGGCTCAATCGGAGTACAGCTGCGCTTACCTGCAGTCGTGAATGCAGTGATGGACAGCTGTCTTTCATCAGTCGACTGTGTTTGGATTTCGTGCGATTTCTCATTGTGGTGGTGATATTATGATAAATCAGTTTCACTAATTCATTTGATCAGAAGTAATTACATTTTGTCAGATCATTTAGTAAGATCATTTAGATCAAAGTAAATCCAAACTTCGTGAGGCAGATGATGACATTCTGTGATCAAATACTATCAACTTGTTAACACGCTCCACAGCGCCACCCAGTGCATTTAGTTATAACTGCATAGGATTTATCATGGGTTCCCTGCATTTACGGCCAGCAAATCAACACATATGCTGTGTCCCAATTCATAGGCTACGTCCTTACTTACATGTCCTGTGATCACATATAGATTTTTTGTCTCCAGATACCATATCTTGGTGTCGTTCACCCATCCTGCAGCGGCGTATTGATAGGCATCTGTACTCTTGAAGGCCTTCAGGCTTTCTCCGGTGTATGGTGATGGATTATGTATAAGATATATATAAATGTCCGGAAAAGTAAGTTGGGGCAGACGCGTCGCAGATTTTAACGGACACAACACAGTTTGAGGCAATAAATAAGGATCGCAGCCAATAACAGATGTTTTTTCCAAATATCGTTTCTTTTCAGTCTCATTTAGATGTGCTGTGTTTGCCATGTCGGACACAAATATGGCGGCGAGCAAAGCGGAAGTGATGTCTTTGGAACTCATGGATAGTACAATTCGAATAGTGTTTTTATTATTCGAATAATAATTTCAGACCGAATATTCGAATGTTCGACTATTCGTGTACACCCCTGGTAATCACTCACGGGATTTACAACATTTTTTTTCCCCGACATACGTCTGACAAGCTATATTTAGGCTACAGATTTTATTTTGTTTTGGCAAGTATTCAATTTGCCCAGAGAAAAACGTTGGATTATGCAACTTACATGCAACTCATTGGCTTCATGCAGTTTAATTAATAAATCGGCCTTTTTCATGCTATTGTCGACGGTTTTATATTAATCAAAAATCGGCCGATACATCGGTGCATCCTTAATGATGTATACAGCTGTGCAATATGGCTGTCACACCCTTACAGGAACGTCCACATGGAGGGCAAAACAAGGCTTTCCTCCACTGACCGCCAGTTATTTTTACTAGGTTTGCACTAAGTACTAATGTAGTAAGACAGTGATATTTAAAGGCCAAATTCAGCATACACCTTATTGATGATGCATACTTTGTATAGGCATGCAGATGAATCCAGAATATAAACGCAAATGCGCAAAGTTTAATATTAAATGTTTTCCCATACAAAACGTTAGCATAGCACACGCATCTAAGGTGTGTATTGAATTTGATCTTTTAATAGCACTGTTTTAAAGGTGCACTAAGCAATATTTGAAAAGTGCTTTTGACCACAGTGTCAATGTCAAGTCCCAAAACACACTCACAGCCAATCAGCAGTAAGGGGTGTGTCTAGTAATGACAGGGAGAAGAGAGCGCTCAGTGAGACAGTGCACATGAAGAATAGGCCTATTAGCAGATCGACTATAGAGACGGCAGAATAAAAAAAAATTTAAAAAAAGGACAATTTCGGAAATGGCATTATAAGGGCACCTTAAACCTGTTTGACAGTTTAACAGCTGAGCTCAAGCCTCCTTACTAATTCAAAAACGTCACTTTAGAACTAGTAATGAAGGAACGTTGAGTTGAAATCTTATTACTGTATTAAAAGCTCAATGTATTATGTAGAGTTGAGTATTATGAGAGAGAGATGGACTGAGCGAGTGTGATTACCTGCATCTGATACAGCATTCATTATTCAGCTCAATCTCATATTCACAATAAAACATAAGTTTGAATGTCCGCTGAGGAAAGCGATATCTTTGCCATACTGTCCTTTCATCTGTTAAGGGTGATTTCCGATGACAGCACTGCTCAGTGCATTTGTTAACTGCGTCTTACAAGCTATTATTAAAAGTAAAAAGAACTTCCATTTCAGTCTCTTTCAATATAAAAGTCTTTACTGCTGACCGTCTCTTGTCGCCATCTAATGGCGGGACAATATAACTAAAATTACCATCACGAACACACACACACACACACAGTTTCCCAATACTAAATACTGTTATTAAATACTTTATATAAACTTTATATAAATTCCCAATACTAAATACTGTTACTAAATACTTTATATAAAGCTTTTATGATGGCTGTTTTTGTTGTTTATTAAATATTATTATTCAATAAATAATATATAATAAACAACAAAAACAGCCATTATAAAAGTTGCTAGGCAATAGTCAAAAGGCAGTGCTCTGAAACAGCATGAATATATTACACTACATTTTTACTTACTTGAAATATCAGTTTCAAAATCATAAACAGGTACGAAATCAAGCGAAAAGGGCGAATTGCTTTATGGCAGCAGCAAATGCACAGCTATCCACTGTCATTACGACGGTGATATATTTACGATAGTGAATTAATTTTCAAACATAATTCTGCAACAGGTGCTTAACTTTTGCCTAAAAGTTTTATGGCAGTGTATCATAGTTACTTCATTGTCATTGTATTTTAAAATATAACTACCTCTGATCTAGTATGGTATACCTTTTAAAATACTTTTATTCATTAAATATTAAATGTGTATCAAGAAATTAACAATTCAAGGAGACGCAAATGTAGTGTAATATTAAATATATTTTATTACATTCATATCACCAACTGTAAACAAAAAAAAAAAATTACCACAAAGAAATTATTTGTATAATAAACTTAAAATCATTCATTTGCAAAATATAGGCCTACTACATGCATACTTTCTTGGTGTGCTCTAAATTCTCCTGTGCACTAAGTGCCTCTCTCTTGTGTGCAGTTTTCTTATTTTTATTCTCGGGAGTCTTTTCTTCTGTCACCACACAACCCTTTAAACACAAGAGAAGAGAAACCATGCAATCAGACTGAAGTAATGAAAGAACATTGGCTCCCCCTAGTGTTGGTGTGTGTGTAATGTCAGTGAATGAAATGTTGGACTTAGCCATTGCAGTTTAAATATACAACAGTCCTGAAAAGCACAAATCTTACCTTGTTCTTCTGAATTGCATGTTCAGCCGTCCATTTCTTTGCCTTCTCTAGATATAGTGGTTTGTTGTATTTAAATTCTGAGGACTGGAAAGTATGTCAGGGAAATTAATTTTCAAGAGGAATGTGTGAGCATTATCTATGGACGCTTGTTTTCTTGTAAACTTTTTTTTTCCCTCACAACTGTAAGTTTATATATCTCACAATTCAGTCTTTTTTTCTCAGAAATGCAAGCTTATATCTTGCAATTCCGACTTTCTTGCAATTGGGAGTTTATATCTTGCAACTGCAAAA